GAAACTAGACTCTCGATCGGAGAGCCAGGCGCGCGCGCAGATAACGCCGGCTCGCAGCGCCTGCTTAGCGGATGCGCCTGTCACTAACACGTGACCTGCGAGAAACCGCGGAAATTCCCCGCCGGCCCCTGACCCCCACCCAGCAGACTCGAGTCGGAACAAGGGGAGCGGATCGGAACCACCGAACACCGTGTGATTCCACTGCGTTGCGCGGATTGGAACTGTCCACAAGTTTAGAATCCCGCGGATCCGAACTGGAGCCGCTCCGATCTGACATTTTCGTGCGGGTCAACAGAGGGAGACTTCTTAAAGTTCGTCTTCAAATGTTTTCGTCACGGATATTGTGGGACGTATGGATGCGATCAACAGGTGAGAATTAATTTATTTACGGGCTTTCTTGGTCATGTAGAACACAAATCGAGTGCTGGGGTGCTATTCTGGTCACAAACGGTCACGTTCGTGTTTCAAGAAAACTCCTCCCCCCCTACGAACCGCGCGCTCTTATTGGCCACAGCCCGCGTGATAATTCCACGCGGTTCCCATGGGAACGTTCGCGAAACACGAAAGCAACCGTTTGCCGTAAATAGAGAGTTTTAGTAGATCGTTCCTATAACGATACCCTATAACGATACGATAACCATACGATACCGATACACAGAACAGGAATGAACGTTTAGTAGACCGTTTTGAAGACGATACATCCGATACGGTCACTTAAGGCGCTGGGGCACTCCCTAGTGGAAACGATTTGCAATTTCCAAAACGAAAAATAACGAAATAAAAGAAAGATGTTTCACTGAAGGAAAAATAACAGTTCTTACATTTAATAGAATTAAAAAAAACATCAATTAAGTTTTATAAGTTGCAGAAATTAGAGAAATGTAGCAGCAAGCTACGTCTAGCCAACTAAAGACAAACCAATTTAGCCCCCCCCCCCCCGTGGCTTGTCACGGGAAGCCATAGGAAGCACGGGTGGCACGGGCGTGAGCGAGTCGAGCGAGTGACCAACCTGAGCCATGGCGACGTGTGTTTTCGAGGATCCCTTGGCCTTAGCTGTTTTGAGGTGGGACGAAATTGAAGAACTCTAGTTTCTGGATATGGAGTACCCCGTTCCGCGGAGGTTTAGGTCCGGGCGAGGCTACTTGGATGTGCTCAACATAGATTGTGAAGCTTTCCGCCATCAGTTTCGTTTTGAGCAGATGGACTTAATGGAGCTGTGTAGCGCGCTGCGAGTCCCTCATACAATTAGGACGGCCCAGAACGTCGCCATCCCCGGGCAGGAAGCTCTGTGTATTCTTCTGCGGAGACTCTCCTACCCCAACCGCCTCTGCGACCTGGAAGGCATGTTTGGCCGCCACTCTTCGACACTTTCGAGTGCGACGACCGTGGTGCTACACCATTTGACGTCCACGTTCGGGCAGCTGACCGCGGATCTGTCAGCTCACACGTGGTTGAACCGTGCAAGCTTGGACGAGTTCTCCGAGGTAAGCATATTGTAAAGTTAAATTAAAAACACAAAAAAGAAAAAAAAATGCAATTGCGTTGTTGATTTTGCTTTTGCAGGCGGTCCGCGCGAAGGGGGCACCTCTTCAGAATTGCTGGGGTTTCGTTGATGGAACGGCCCGCCCCATCTGCCGACCCACGGAGGACCAGCGGCTTTATTTCTCTGGCCACAAGCGTGTGCACGCCATCAAGTATCAGGGCATCATGTGTGCCAACGGCATCATCGTGGAGATGAATGGCCCTTACCCGGGACACCGACACGACGCCGGTAAGTCAATAGCAAAAACTCGGAAATCGTAACCTACAGGTTCTTGGAAGATGCGCTCATAAATAGAGGAACAGCCTCTATCACAGCCAAAATAAGTTGAAACGCCACATGCAAGACCCGTGCTGCTATCAAGGCAGCCTGTGGAATTGTTCTGCAAACTGTGATGGGCGCCGTGGCCAACACAGAGTTCCTTCTACACTGGCGGCTCACCTCTATATTTCCGTGTCGTCTGCTATTGAGCAAATGGTGGCGACATTTCTTCCTTTCGCCAAACCTCAAAACCCACGCACGATGCAGAATAAATCTTTGTTGCAGACCTTGTCGAAAGACTGTGCTTATGATAACACAATAATTGGTAAACGATTTAGTGCCCGAAACACATAGATCGCACCTACAGGAATGTGGTTCGACCTCAGGGTACACCACGTAAAGGGCGTTTTCGTATTTCAAGGGACAGGGACCGCCAGCTTGCCAGAGCTGCATCGGTGAATAGACCTTTTTCAAAGCACGATGCCGCTGTCCACAGCACCGGGGAGGCGACAGCAAAGTAAGGCGAGCAACTGTGCTATACCTCTTGCTCTCTTCAGTGTCAGGGGGGGCAGGCAATGAGGGATTTTTGCAAAAAGCCTATTCTTTCCAATTGGAGTGGGAGCTTCAAGATGACCCGACCATGGAGGCATCCATTTGAACAGAACTGCTGTTTCATAGGCAGAGAACACAGAAGTTCAGGGTGGCACAACGAGCGCAGAAAGGGGTATGTATTGGCTTCATCGTGCATCACAGTTTGCAGAACAGTGCGGCAGGCGGCTTCGAAAGTACTGCCTGCCTCACATCCTGGCTTTTCAGCTCATCTTGGCCGCGATAGTACAGAAGAATTACTATTTCATGCTTAAATGCTGAACGTCAAGCTGGTGTTCTTCGGACAGGGAGTTAAACTCTTAAACTGGGGTGGAAAAATAATGTGACAGTACGAAGGGAGCAAACACTTGTCCCATTGCTTTTTTGTTAAAGGGCGTTGTTGTATAAGCTTGGGACTGTGGAATAAAAGAAGACAAAGCTGAGAATGGATCAGGAATGGCAGTCCTTTACTCCTATCCTAACATGTCAGTTTTGACTACTGCAGTAGACCTATTGCCACTGAATGCAGCACTTACCCTTGCGTGGTTACTTGTTTCATTAGGCTGCTTGCCAGAGTTGCGGATAGTTTTCCAGCGTGTTTGATCGTGCAGACGAGAGCCTGCATGCGAGCTGTCAGCTTGGCAGCTCACAAGATCATCGGGCATTCCAGTAAACCAATGTTTCGGTAACCATTAGCCCAGTTATTGAACACTTGATGGCAGCAGTCACAGTCGCTGACGCAGTGCAAGACACTGGCCGAACAAGGGCAGCAAGCTAAAACGATGTCAAACTGGTAACCTGAGACTGTGCCTAACTGCCGTGGTGGGAATGATTTGTCCGCAGAAGTAAAAGTTGAGGGCTTTATGTGCCAAAGTAACGACGGGCGACTGGCACGCACCAGTGGAGGATTAATTTCTACCTCCTGGGTATCTCGATGTGCAACAAAAAGCTCGGTTACGACGGCACCTTCTCTGTAATAAGCCTCCATCAGAGTGCTAGCCGCCTCGGTGGCTCCGAGGCGAGAGCGCTGTCCTACGGATCCCCATGTCGCGGGTTCGAATCCCGGCCGAGGGGCCCGCAATCTGACGGAGGCTTATTGCAGAGGAGGCGCCGTGTAACCGAGCTTTCGGTTGCACGTCAAAAGATCCCCAGGTGGTCCAAATAAATCCTTAGTCCTCCGCTGGGGCGTGCCAGATACCCGTCGTTGGTTTGGCACGTAAAACCCCCAAATTTGACTGTTCCATCAGAGTGCTGGCACCTCGGCGGGGATTCGAACCCGCCACCTGGGGATTTGTAGGCCGACGCTTTGCCTCGAACGAGGCGGCTGATGCGTCCACAGCTCTGATGTAAATCCCTTCGCGTTTGAAATGCCAACAAATTTGGATGTTTTCAAACTGGAACATTAAACAAGGTGGCTGTGGCAGTGGCAACAGTACCCTCTGACCTCTAAATTGGCAAAGCCAAACAAGGTCACACAAATCAATGTTTTGCTCTATGGAGTGAGGAAAGGGCGTGTCGACCTTTGTGGCTTATCGACGTGCAGGTGGTGATTGTCACTATATGCTACTCAGTGTTTTATCGTTGTGTCTCATCTGACTCCTTTTTCAGGTATCCTGCGGCTGAGCGGCCTTTATGAAAGGCTTGAGGACCTCGTGCAGGGCAGCGTATACACGATCTACGGTGACCCTGCCTATCCTTTGCGGCCTTTGTTGCAGAAACCATTCATGGGTGCTAGCTTGACTGCCGCAGAGCAGAACTTTAACAAAAAAATGAGCAGCGTGAGGCAAGCAGTAGAATGGGGCTTTGGGAAAGTGTCAACTCTCTTCGCTTTTGTAGATTTCAAAAAAAATCAGAAGCACAGGCTGCAGCGCGTGAGCGATATGTATCAGGCTGCAACACAGTTAACAAACTGCCACACGTGCCTGTATGGCAGCCAAACCTCCACGTACTTTCAGCTGTCTCCGCCGACGCTGGATGAATATCTTTCACCTCGTTATTGACTTCGTATAATTTGAATTCTTTTTGTGCAATCTTTTTTTTTGTCCGAGTGCCTATAGTCTGTTGCATGTTGCAACTCGAGAGGGTAGGGCGAGGGAAAGGGAGGCCAGGGAGGAGGAAGTAGACAGAACCCTAGAGAGGAGTGGGGGAAACCTCCTCCTCTAGCGTTTCATCTGCTTCCTCCTCCTTTGTCTTTCTTTTTCTCACCCTACCTTCTTAGTTGCAACAGACCATAGCATCTTTTATGACTGTTTATTCCACGGGATGACTTTTGTGCAACTGTCTGGTTGCTTACCTGCTGCATTTCTTTTATCTGCCTCTTGTGTTCTTTTCAAAGCAGCAACCGTGTTCCCATATTGTTTTAGTTTTGTGAACGATACAGGTTTATATGTTAAGTATATGCTATTTCTGTTATTCGTCAAGCGCCTTCAGCTTGACATAAATTTTATCAGCGTGGTGATTTTCAAGTGTCTCATGTTATTGCTTTGCCAGTCATTGCCAACATAACAATTGCTGTCTGTTCAATATTACACTCAAAATATTTCTTTGTATAGTAAATCGAACAGGCCTACCCCTGCCGTTTTTTTTCAACGACATTGTTTAGTGAAATGAAAGATTTATTGCATTATGTATTATGATGTCATACCACTTGCTCACACTTAACTTTACTTGTTAATTTGACCATTCACTACTTTAAGGTAATGTTCTTGCAGTTGGAGACGAAGCCTCCTCTCCTCTGCTCCAGCCTCCTGTAGCACATAAAATTTTTCTCTTTCAAACGCTAAGCGATTTTCGCTTAAGGTCACCTGGCGCTCTTCAATGGCCAGGCGCCTCTCCATCTGGCGCTCCTCCATGGCGAGACGCCTTTCCTCAAGAGCGATCTCTAGTTTTTTTATGCTGCGGTCCTCTTCTGCTCTCTTTTCCAGCGATGCAAGGTGCTCCCTGTACCGCTTCTGCCTGGTTGCTGGAAAAATACAACAAAGGAAACAATGCACACAGCATCAAATAAACAACTTTTTTAAAATTTTTCTTAGTGTGTAGGTTGACAATTGATTGACTGTTTATTTTATTGGACCTGGCCATTCAATGAAGGTACTGCACAAAAAACACTGGGTAATTCATGTGTGTTCAAACAGTGACTGAGATATGTCGGTCTAGTAAGCAAAAAATGACAAATGTAAATGACAGCCCAAAACTTCTAGAGCAGATTTGGAGAATTTCTACAAATGGGGTTATGTGTATCCTCTTTCAAAAGTTTAACGTATGCTTGAAGCATCTACTGAAAGATGGCAGTGCTTACCCTGTCCGCCCCAAGTCCTAGGTCGTGCGACAGAAGTAACCGGAACACGAGCCTGGACTGGTGGCAAGGGGGGTTGGACCAGCGGCTCAGGGGTCGGAACCAGCGGTACAGGGGCTGGGGCCAGCTCCACAACTTGGTCTGTGTTGCCTGGTTGCCAGGCGTCGGCGTCCTCCACTCCGTTCATTATGTCAGCAAAGATAGACTGGCAGTTCTCGGAACCTGTAAATAGAGTATTGCATAAATATTTGTGGTGTATCATGACACACGCTGTGGAGCTGGGCATTGAAAATGTATGAAAAATACAACGCAGGTATGATGGAGTCAGATCTTCAAAAAACCATTCCAAAATATGTAGTGCCTCTTATCGTTTCCTCGACACATCACGACACTCCGATGTGCGGCGCGTGAAGGAAAATGTTCCATGAATAGAAGAAGCGGTTCATGCCGGCTTAGCATTTTGCATTTTCTGAATGCCTGAAACATTAATGTATGTTTAGAACATACATTAATGTATGTTTAGAACATACCTAATCAGAACTCGGCAGTTTACTCAAAGCTGTGCTCTGGGAACTACAGATGTACCCAAGTAAATTACACTTTTACTTGAGAGCAGCAGACCATGTAAGTCGTCCTCAGTAGGCTATTCGATGGGAACTCGCGAGTAGCCTAATATCAGTCGTAAACAAACGCGATTGATAGAGCGGTCATGACGACCTGACTTTCCTAACCAGGTGGGGTTCATGACGCACGTGTCATACTCACTAGACTGCCCTGCCACTGCATTATGATTGACCGGTCTGTACTCGGCTGCAGCCGCAACAACTCGCGCTGTAGTGGCAGCATCGCGAGCAGCCCGATTTGTCGCCGGCCTGGTTGTGGTGGCTGTGGCACGTTCCCGCGGTTCCAGCGCAGCGGTGGAGGTGGTGGTGGCACCTTCCTCGGTGGCTGTCGCCTTCCTGAGCACTGGCTTAACCTTGTAACAAAATTCACAGGCCAGGTCAGCAGCACCCTGCAGCAGCTGCTCTTTTTCGGTGTACTGCTCTTCCGTTCCGGATCTAAGGGTTTCAGGGGGAGAGCGGTATCAACAAGTGCGCCTGTCTTCCTCAAGCGTAGATCTGTTATTTCAGTCAACGAACATGAGTACATCTCCGTGTCGCGAAAGCTGCAACGCGAACTCGGTAGCTTGAAAACGCGCTTTCCTACGCGAAATGTCTAGCGGCACAGGCATGTGCGTTTCCAAACAACAAGCTCGCGCTAGATTGCAGTTGCGCCAGCTGTTGGACAGGGTATGGCAGTATGCTAAAACTAGAGTGCCTCAATGTCCTTCTGTTTAGGGTGATGCCATCGTTGGTAGTACCCGATGCCGACAGCACGCGCTCACAGGGAAAATACAAAGAAATCGCAGGAAACAAAATGTCGCCGTAGCACAGTCAGCACCACGAGCGCGTGCAGGGACATGCACTTTCACGCGCTTCAGAACAAAAAAATAAAAATAAGCGTTCGAAACAAAATGACCAGATGTCATCACGCCAAGCAAAGCGCACATGAAGGCATCCCAGCTAAAACGCTTCTGAACTTTCAAACGGGACTCAAAAACGACTTACTTTCTCAAGTTTGTGCGGTCGTCTCGCTTGAACAGACCGAGCAGCAGGTCGCAGCGGTCTCTCACTCCGCGAACACTGAAGTTCCTCCCCAGTGCTTCATTTAGGTTCGCGGCCACTGTATCCCACCGTGAAGAATTCACAAACGGATTCACCGCAAGCACTTCCCTTAAAAGGAGGATATCCTCGATGATCGTGAATCGTTTTCGACCCGCTTGGGCAGAAAGAGGTTCGAGTGGAGCGGCCATGATCGTTCAGCTTTTGCCGGATCTCGTCAACTCTCGCGATGCACGAGAGTGCGCGCGATATTTCCCGATATTCCCGATACCTGCGCCCGAAACACCCGATACTCTAGCGCATGCGTGATGGCTCCGGCGCAGTATCGGGTATCGTTATCGGAGTGAGAAACGATCTACTAAAACTCTCTAATGTCTCTCTTCGAGTTCGGACCGTGACGACAAAGTGACGTGTGACCACGTCCGACCTACGTAGCACATAGCGGAAGTCGCGTCACTAGATTAACTGCGGTATTACTCGACACACCCTACTCTCTGTTTCACCGTTTCACTATGAGTGCGAGCTAGTGCGATTGTAGGAGCTACAAGAACGTGCCCCGGGCTTTCAACGTCCCTGTCGAGCAGGCGCGCTTGCGCAGTGCAAGCCAACGTTCGTGCAATATCGTACGGGGGGATGCGCTCGTGCTGTTAACCTCTCTTTCTATTGCACGAAGGGGAACAAGCTTTGGACAGGATTCTAGAGCGCAGAAAATGGCGGCGATGCTTGTTGCTCAACGATGGCTGGACCAACGCGTACAATGACGGGTTTTCCGCGAAAACCCGGTTGCCTTCGCGATGCACGACGACTGTTTCTGACGACAATACCGCTTGTCGAAAAGCACCGTGTGATCACAGTGTGACAACGAGAGACGGCGACGATGAGAGATGATGACCGTCGAGCAGCAGCTACTAATTGAATCGCACTGACATTTTTCGCAACGGGGAACTACAAGGGCGCGGTTACCCCGAGGATCACATAGCTAATGCCCAGTGGATGGTGATCAAAGCCGTGACGGCCGTCGTGAGTATCGCTGTCAACCGGCTGGGAAGAGACGGTTGGGTCGACAAAACCCCTGACCGAGGCAGCTGAGGCATGTTCGAAAGAAGGCTTTCGTCGCCACCATGACAAGCACACCGACGTCGTTGGGTGCGTTGACTAAACTTAGACTCTAACTAAACCTTCGTCACCGTCAGCATCGGTCTGAAAGAGACCGTCACCATTCTGAAGGACTCCAACACTTTGCCGCAAACACCATTTTGCCATTAACAACATGGTGGTAAGTTGACGTTTAAACTTCAGGGTTTCTACCGCCTCGAAGTTATTGCACGCTTAGTACCTATGTCTTCTGTTGACAATTTGTTGCGGTCTGTAGCTACTGTCTCAATTACGCAATAAAATCTGGATGGGTTGCTGATGGCATTTTGTTGTATCAATTAGATATTTTATCTTTTCACGCCAAGCTGCTGGAATTGCAAGTCAGTCATCGGAAAGTCATAAGAACACTTTTCGATGCCCTGCAATAAACTACGAATAGGTCTGTCCTAAAATGAATCGTTACTTGTCTAGACAGCAGCAGTTTAGACTGACAGAGTATGGTAACATTGTTACCCACTGTAGACGAGAAATTTAGCCAGTGTCTCGTGGATGGTTGTCATCTTCGTGACCAAGAGAAACAATAAAAATAGAATTGTCCTACATTCAACACACGTGTGTTTAATGTAAAGGTTATGATAGCAATTAAATAGATTGTCGTTTCAAAAGTGACAGTAACTCATTGAAATTAAAGAGAAGTGTGAGTTGGATTTTTGAAATTTGCCTGTGATGCAGAGCAAATACACACTGTTGGCTTATCACCATCAAGCATAAACGACAAGCGGAGGCAGAGTAGATGTGTGAAGGAAAAGCGAGCATATGTACTAAAGAAAGAACTGCTACGTAACGTGAAGAATGTCAGTAACTATCTAGCCATTGTACGAGCTCAGTGGCTATGCACATGCTTATAGCAGCCTGTGAATGTAGGATGCTCCCCTTATGTGGCAAAGCCAGGGGGGGGGGGGGGGGGGGGCGAGGGGGGGGGGTTTATGGGGCTTCGCTCCTTCCCTCCCCAAATCCGGCGGGCCCTAGAATATACACACAAATTCCGAAACCATCCCCCCCGCACCCCAAGTCATGAACATCCCAGCCACCTCAACCCCCCTCCATCCTGACCTTCTTAGAAGTTCTGGCTACGCCACTACTATCAACAGCACTCAATAGAGAGCCAACATTATCAAGATAAACGAAATTTATTTTATTTTATGCACCATATAGGCAGTGTTTTTGTCTTTATATGCATGCAGCCAAAGCACACACTGTAGAAAACACTTGTGTGAAGCCTGCGTTCACAATGCGGTCCCCGTCAAACTTTCAAGGCTTTAACGAATTCCACAAATTAAATTTTCAACGAAACGAATTCGTTTTGCAAAACGCTGGCAAACTTACGTTGCGTTTTACATCATTCACCTTTGTCGTCCGATGAATCAGCAGTCAGCACTACACAAACCTCAAGAGCTTGTCGTTTGTTTTCTTGCCGTTGGGGCGATCGCTGGCGGTAGTGGCGGCGGCCCAATTCTTTCTCAGACCGTTGGCTGCTGCCTCCGTGCTCGCGGAAACGTGGTTCCCTTTGTGTCAAGGTGAGGTTTTGAATCTTAATGCACGGCAACGCTGAATAAAGGTCTATTACCATCTTCATAATCTCAGCAACGCTACCGTACGAGCCACAACAACACCACCACTTTCAAGCTTCATAACACCGGCACAAATAGAAGCCAAGTCTTGCATCTCTTCAAGCGTTACATCGGAGACGTTAAACGCCAGCTCACTGTGCTCTTCGACCCGGTCCTGCCGCCGAATGGGCTCATCCAACAGCACGAAAGTATTCGTGTGCGCGTTGATCAAGTGACCGATCGCATGTCAAACCCCAGCCGCGGTCGATCCGACGAGCCTCGCGGCCATGTTCTTTCGAGTTTAACTCGCCAAGGGTACGGTTGTCGAGTTAAAACAATGCAAATAGTCCCGTGCATTCTTGTTCTTACGTCATTTTGTCGTCACAACCCGAACTCAAAAAATGACTGTTAGCGGAAAACAGAGGCTTTCTAGTTTCACGAACGTTTCCATGGCAAATGGCGTTGAATCGTCACGCGCAATGAAACCGATGGGAAAGCGAGGTACCTATGTAGGGACATGTAAAAACGTAAAAGCCGTTTTTTTTTTTTGCATGAGCTATTCTGCAAATAAAAATAAATAAAAAAGACTGCCCGAGATTATGCCGTCGCGTGCACTTTTTCAGCGCCGAAAGAGAAGAGCATGGCTTATGGAGACTATACCGGCATAATCACTGCAGTGAGCAAAGGAGCAAAGCATTATTAAAACTCCTCGAAGAAACTTTCCTGCATCATCCACAGAATGCTCACAACCGTTGCACTCTTGCGTCGATCTCATGACTTGTCATATACTACCACAGAGTCGTCGTCAGCTCTGTATCCATTTGAAGTCTCC